AAAGTTTCCGCAATCTGTCCATTGAAGTCACGCAGGCAACACTCAGGTTTCACTAACTTGGGGAGAGAGTGCCGAAACAACTGGAAGTATGTGTTTTCATCTATGAGGGATACTTCTGAACCCAAGTCCACTTCCGTTTTGCACTTCTCTCCATTTATTACTATAGTTGCAATCATCTCAGAACCTTGAGTTTCGACAACACCAACACTTTGAATCAAATATGGTTTTTATACCTCACATCCTGGGGAGGATTCTAATCTGTGAGTGGATTGGGAGTGAATACATTTGCCACAGTCTTTTTGTGTCCCACCATTGGCCTTCAAGCAACAAACCCTCTCTGTGCAGCCCTTCTTCTTGTAGGCATGACACTCCACGTCCCTAAACCTGCGCTCCCTTCGTCTATGTTGGCTGCCACAACTCAAACATGTCTGTGGATTAACTGGTTTGCATGGTGCTGTTGGTGAGGGTCTAATCTGCTGAATTTTCTGGTGATGATCTGATTCTTGATCTTTTTGGAATAAGTGGACATTGCTGGAGAAAGCCTGGCAAATTCCCCTCACCTTATAGGATTCTGCTTCAGCTGCCAAGGCTTTTTCTTGTGCAGTAGCCAAGGTCAAATTTGGTTCAAAGAGCAGGCAACATTGTTGGGTTGTTTCATCTTGAACCCCACAAATAAGACGGTTGTGAAGCAGGCCATCCAGGAGTTCCCCAAACTCACAAAATTCGGCAAGGCAATGGAGCTCAGCCAGGAAATCTGCTATGCCTTTGCTGGCCTTTTGGTTCCATTTAAAAAAAAATGAAATCTCTGCAGGGTAACAGATAGCCTTGGGCAAAAATGTGCCTTTAGCAGGGCAATTAGTTCAGCATAAGACTTAGCATTTGGTAAGGCAGATGCTGTGAGGGAATGAACAGTGGCAAATGTTTTAGCACCACAGACTGTCAGGAGGATCGCGCACTTCTGTGCTGGATTTTCCACTTTGTTGGCTTCCAGGTAATAGGACAGCCTCTCAGCACAAGAGTCCCAAGAAGTCAGCTGGCTCACATCAGATTCTTCTATGTGAACCAATGTGGCTATTTTAACTAACATCAGCCATATTAGAGAGAAAATAATAATACGTAAAAAAACATTCCCTCTGATCTCACACACAGCCTGGTCTCAGAATGGTATCCCACAATCTAGGGGTGTCTTGTTAGCAAAGGATCCCATCCTTGTTGCCAGATGCTATGTTGTGGGTTCAACAACACCACTCTGGTCACTGCTGTGTTGAACTAACATTTATTATTATAACTCTCTGGAATCATACCCAGGGTGGATCTTAACAGTTGCATCAGTATATGCATACAGATCTTACACTTGGCTCTGCCTCTGACTTGACCCACTCCAGTCCTGTGGAGGGAGAGGAACCAAGAATGCCTCTGGCTCCTCACAGCAGGGAACATGGAGTCCCCAGTGCTGTAAAACTGCCAGAAGTAAAGTGAACCCTGCAGTGCTGACCAGGAGGACTTTGGCCTTAAAGGGACAGTACAAAGAAAACACAGTAAGACACAACAGGATGCTTGTGCCACTTGTTCAGATCACTGGTACAGAAGGTTTTGAGTGCCAAGCCCACCCAGAAAGAGGGAGCCCAACAAACCCAGGAGATCTAACTCCTAGTCCCTACACTCTACCTACTAGACTGCGCTCCCTCTAGGAGCTGGGACCAAGAATCCAGCCTCCTCTTGACTCTTCTATTAACCCATTCTTCTTCACAGAGCTAGCAGTATAACCCAGGATATCAGATTCCCAGACCATAATTTAAGGGCTGGTATAGCACTTCCAGAGACAGTACTAATCCATGCTGCCCAGAAGACTCTAGGTAGTGCCTGATGTAGGGCTGTGTCCAAGAAGTAAAGCACCTCTGGTCTTATCTGCTCACAGCTGCCCTTTGACCACCCCCAGATAGGAGCAGCGGAAGGCCTGGGATGTTGAAGTTGTCTGAGACTTTTGTTTTTGTTGTTCTGTGCTAAAAATGTCGTTAAAAATAAATTCAACATGGGCCCAATTCACCTCTGTGCCAGCACTGTGTTTGGGGTGGGCTCCAGGGAACTGTATGGAGGTGAAGACTGTGTCATTTTGCATTTCCCCGATCTGGGCTGGCTACAGGCTTCTGTAGTCTTCGGTGGCACATAAAGCAAGAAGGTGCGGATCAGACTAGAAGAAGCCTATAGTGCAGTCCTGAGGTAACCAGGAGGTATTAGGCTACCAGCTTGGGCAAAGTGAATTTTAATAGTAGTATCCTACAGTTTAGGGCTGTGAAGACTGGCAGAGCTGATTGGGGATCAGGTCTGGAATAACAGAGAGAAATCAGAACTAAAACACATTAAGGGAGTTTCAGGGACATCTAGAACAACACCCCTAAGCATTGTGTTCCCCTGTTTTCATCAGCAATGGGTGTGAGAAAAATCCCGCTTTGAAGGAGAAGACTGGTCATAAGTATTGGGTGCTAATATATAGCCTTCTCCACCCTATCATTTGATATCTGCTTATCCATGTAAAATCCCCCAGAAGGTAGGGAAGTGCTAGTCCAGTTTAGAGATGAGGAACTACAGTGCAGAGACTGAAATTTACTTTTCCAAATGTGGCACTGGGTTGGAGTTCCTCAAGTTTAGTTTGCTGAACCTCAGATACCTTGAAGTAACCTAATTTTCAAAAACGCTAACCCTAAACATCAGCACTCTTAAAGTGTCATCTGTTGGGCCCCCAGCAATGGTGTACGCAGTCTGTATTCAGTCAGCTCCATCTTCCCATGTGCTGCTTCTTGTCTTCTCACATGGCAAACTGTTTGGCCAAGGACCGTATCTTCACACATTGGTACAGTGCCTAGCATAAATGGATCCATACTCCGGCTGGGGCCCCTCAGCCTTTTCATGGTATGAAGATTAAAAACCACAACTCCTATGGACAGCTGAGGCTGCTAATTTGCCTAACCCATCACTGCTCTCTATATCATTTACCCAAACGGTTTATTAAAGAGGCCATCCTTAATAGACTGGCCGATGCCAGGATCCTAAGGGATAGCCACCACGGCTTTGTTGCAGGTAGGTCTTACTTAACCAATCTCATTTCCTTCTACGACCAGGTGACCTATCACCTGGACAAGGGAGAAAAGATTGATGTCATATATCTTGACTTCAAAAAAGCCTTCGATCTGGTATCCCATGATCACCTCTTGGAGAAACTGGCCAATTGTGGCCTTGGGTCCACCATGATCCGCTGGCTGGGAAATTGGCTCCATGGTCGGACCAAGTGGGTAGTAATTGATGGAAGTCAATTGTCATGTTGTCC